CCAATTTATTTTGTGTTATTTATTTCTGTGTTTGTTATATCGACGGAGATTTGAGAGACTATGTGGTGATTTCTTGTAACTGTGAACAAATCAAAAGACGAGATAAGATTAACGAGAGCATTTATTAGCTTACATACATCCGACTTGGATTTTACACAAATTGCGAAATTATACCCCGACTTAAGCCTGGTACCCACATGCGGCAACGGACGACGGAAACGGTCGACGGAACGTCAAAATGACGTCACTTTTGCTGTCGACGGAATACGAAGTTGAAAATTTTCAACTTTTACCGCGACGGAAAGCGGCATGGTAAAAATTAGACCAATAGGAAGACCGTTTAGCAATGTCGTCATAAAGATCAAGTGGGACGATAGCATTTGAACAATGGCGGTCGACAAGCTAAAAAGCTTTATTTGTACACTAATACGCTTATATATTTCATTTATACTCTATATTACTATCCGATTTAAATATTAATGTTAAATAGACTTACTTATTGTGTAAAGTATTGGGAATGAAGTAAGCGTAATTCGGCGACGAAAGTATTCGATATTCCTAACTTTCGATGATTTAGAATATTTTTCCTATCCAAATTATTTGTTTTTGAGATTTATTTTATTTGCTATAAGATCGAAGGCAAACTTGAAAAGTTTAATTGATATAACAAAGCAATCCCGGTAGACGCCATTTACGACTACTGGCACGTGGCCTACCTATTGTAGAAGCTTGTTTATACTTACGGCTGGCAGATGGCGCGTTTCAATTGTAGGGTAATTTCCGCATGTGAGTACACGCGACACGGAAAGACGACGGAATGGCAACTGTTTCCGTCGACGATTTCAGTCGTTCGTTGCCGCATGTGAGTACCAGGCTTTACGCGGTTATCGCTCGGTCCCACCTATCACGTAAGTCTGGGGTATTACTGTATCTGACAACATTTAGTGCCACCAAACAGTAGCAGCAGTTTGGTGCAGAAATCAAGAAAACTTGAAATTACACTAGCCAAGTTAGTGATGGTATATCCACACACACACAGTCAAAAGTAAAGAAGATATACAAGGGGTATCTAGAAAATAAAGAATGTCTGAGCAAAGCACTCTGTTGAGGTGAATAACTGTTGATTCAAGGTCAAATTTTTCTCTGATTTGTTAACTTAGCACACAGAGTTTCAATAATAGCAGACTTATTGTTACTGTTTTGTCAAGGGGTAAAATGTGTACAAAAATCAAAAGTTCACCAAATGCAAAGTGTGCAATGTTATTCATTTTCTAAATGTGCTAAAACTGCTTCCTATGTAACTACATTTACAAAATTAATATATCTTTTGATACTTTTAAAATGAAAAGGGGGCAAGAAACTTGATTCACAATGCACAATGAGGGCAATGCTAAATAATTTGTAAGTTGTATCTTTAAAAATATAAAATTTCAAAAAAGCCTTAAAACATTAAATGAATACAAATAATTAATATTTATAATAAATTAAATACTAACAAAAACTAATATTAATTTTTACTTAAAATTGAAATTTTTTTTTTGATAAAACAAGTTTATAAAAAATACTGTTTAAAATTTTTAAAAAATATCTTCTTTGTCCTGGCCTATATCCCAGATTATTTGGGGTCAGCCCGGAATGTCAATTTGCGCCATGTTGGTCTATCTCTAACTGTTTCTTCATCCACTCCCCAGTCCAGCATATCCGTTTTTACACACTCAATCCACCTCTTCTTAAGTCTCCCTCTACCTCTATCTCCCTGTACTTTCATATATAGTGCCTTTCTTGTTACATGTTCCTCATTCCTTCTCACCACATGTCCAAACCATGTCAGTCTATGGCTTTTTATTTTTTCTGAGATAGATGCTACCTTTAGACTTCCTCTAATGTAGTCATTTCTAATCCTATCCATCCTTGTGACCCCACACATCCACCTCAGCATACGCATCTCTGCCACATGGAATCGCTTCTCTTCGGTGGCTGTCGTTGGCCAGCACTCGCACCCATACATAAGCACGGGTCTGATGACAGTTTTATATATTAGCCCTCTTACTTTAAGTGGCATGCGTTTGTCACAAGTTATTCCTGTCATCTGTTTCCACTTTAACCACCCTGCATTGATCCTTCTAGTAATCTCCCTATCAATGTTGCCATCTTTCTGCAACAGAGATCCTAGATAGCGGAATTCAGTACTCTCTGGCAATGGTATTCCATTTAGCCTTAATGAACCAGTACCAGGGAGACCGTCAAAATTACAGAACATATACTCCGTCTTGATTTGGCTGATTTTTAGTCCCTCATTTTCCAGCACGTGTTGCCATTTGTTTAGCCGTCTCTGTAGTTCTTCCCTGTCCTCATCAATGAGGACTATGTCATCTGCAAACAGCACACACCAGGGTACATCCTCTTGTACAGCAGATGTTATTGCCTCCATAACTAAAAGGAAGAGGTATGGGCTGAGTGCTGACCCCTGATGTAATCCCACTCTTACTTCAAACATGTCCGTCAATCCGGCTGCAGTTCTAACCTGCGTGCTGGCCCTATAGTACATATCTTCAATTGTTGCAATGTATTGAAGCGGCACACCTTTCTTCCTAAGGGACCACCAAAGGACTTCTCTCGGGACTCTGTCATATGCTTTTTCCAAGTCTATGAACACCATATGCAGATTTTTCCTCACAGATTGGTACTTTTCCATCACCTGTCTCACCACGAATATGGCGTCTGTAGTACTCCTCCTAGGCATAAATCCAAACTGGCCTTCAGTGACACTAGTTTCCTCTCTAATCCTTCGTTCAATTACCCTTTCAAAAAGTTTCATTGTGTGAGCCAATAGTTTTATCCCCCTATAATTATTACATTCCTGCACATCCCCTTTTTCTTTAAAGATGGGTACTAAATAGCTTTTTCTCCATTCATTGGGTATAGTTCCCTCTAACAGTATTTTATTAAACAGCTCTGTTAACCAGTCTGTTCCCTCCTCTCCTAGGACTTTCCATACCTCAATTGGTATCTGATCCGGGCCCACTGATTTCCCATTTTTCATTTTATTCAATGCCAGCTTTACCTCCCCTTTCTCTACCATGCCTACTAGGCCAAATTTGGCTCTACATTTTCAGTGTTAGTTTGTCTGTCATTCTCCACGTTCATAAGGTCTTTAAAGTATGTTTTCCACCGGGCCTTAATTTCTTCATTTTTAGTTAACACTTTGCCATTTGTGTCCTTTATACACTTGATATAGGACATATCTTTACTCCCTCTGCCTCTCATTTTCGCAAGTCTATATATGGCTTTTCTACCCTCTTTTCCCGTGAGTGATCTATACATTTCGTCCTGGGCTTGCGCCTTAGCTATGGCAACCACTGTCTTCGCCTTCTTTTTCATCTGCACATGACCACTCTTTTCTCTTCCCTTACCTTATTATCTCCTTTCTCATTCTGCCAACTTTTAAAAGCATCTTTTTTCTCTCTTATAGCTTTCTTAACTTCTTCATTCCACCACCATACCTCCTCCTTTATTTTCCTAACTGGCTTAGTTTCTCCCAGAAGTTCCTTTGCAATCCTTCGTATTTCCCTGGCCACCTGTGTCCACCATTCATCTACTGAGTCATTGCACTTCGTGTTCCGATTAATAACACTTATTACTTTTTCTTTAAACTCTATTGCCCTTTCCCCTTTTAACGACCACCATTTAATTTTAGGTATCAGTTTATCTTTATACTTAATCCTATTAAGATCAATCTTTAATTCCATTACTAAAAATCTATGCTGACTAGTCAAGTCTTCTCCTGGTATCACTTTACAGTCCTTAATCCCTTTTAGAGTAGTCCATCTTGTTAATAGGTAGTCTATTTGTGATTTATGATCCCCGCTCTTGTAAGTTATTAAATGTTCTTCACATTTATCAAAATAAGTGTTGACCACGACTAACTCATAGGCAGTGGCCATTTGCAAGACACATTCTCCTTCAAAATTTCTACCACCAAATCCTTTGCCTCCATGTACCCTCTCATAACCAGCATTATTTTTTCCCACATGCCCGTTAAAGTCCGCTCCAATAAATATCTCCTCATGTGTCGGTACCTCCGTCATTATCCTAGCCAAATCTTCCCAAAATTGCTCTTTTACTTCATCATCTACACCCACTTGCGGCGCATATGCACTAATAACATTAACTATCAGTTCTCCAATACTCAATTTCACCAATATTAATCTATCATTTACTCTACTGACTATGACTACATTCTTCTTTAAGTCGTTGTCTATGACTATCCCCACTCCATTTCTCTTTCCATCTTTACCACAGTAGAAAAGTTTATACCCTTCGCCAATCTCTTTAGCTTTGGCCCTTTTCCACTTTGTCTCCTGCAAGCACACTATGTTGACTCTTCTTCTTCTCAGGGTATCTACAAGTTCAGCTCCTCTCCCTGTCATAGTCCCTATATTCCAACTTCACACTCTTAATGGGACTCGCTTCCTTACGTTGTCTCCGTCCCATGTGAGACAACAACCCTCGTCCATTTCCCACAGCCGCCGGGTGCTGCGGCTGCGCGTCGCCTATGGGGTATGCCCTAGTATTATCACATCCTAAAGTGGCATTTGACATTCCATAAAAAAGGATTTGGCTGGGGTTTTTACAGTCGGCCGCCAATCAGACCAACCTTCCCATTTTTCTAACCTGGGCTGAGGAACCAGGCTTAGCATGGATTTGGCAGTGGCCTGAGCTCCAACAGGCTCAAAACAGACCTTAAGCGGCAGATGGTCGTCGCTATAGATACCGCCCCGCCTCCAGCGGCACCCAGCCCTGGTAGGCCCTCCTCCAGTGTGGCACCGGAGTATTACCCTTGCAGGTTAATACCCAATTTTAAAAAAATATACAAGTATTAAAATAAAATTCCTCATTACTTTTCTAATATAAACTTAAAACTAGTCATTAAATTTAAGGCCTTACTCTTTAATAATTTGTTAAGCTATAGAATTTTATATAAAAAAAACTTTACTTACAAGTTTGAACATTGGTGGCTGTAGAACTGGAACCAAAGTCTACTAAATCAGATAACAAATCTGTGCTTGTCTGATCAGATTTTGGTTTATTTTCAGGTGAATTACTAGTTACAGAAGAACTCTCCACAATTTTTTCTGAATTTGTCTTAAAATGAATTTAAAACATTGCAATTGTTTTTTAATTGAATACTTTTAGAATCAAATTAATTATAAACTGAAGCATTTTCTATTAAAATTTAATAAATTACTTTGAAACTATTTTAGGTAATTTTAAATTTACAACTCTTATTTTCAGAAGGTAAGAATTAGAGATTTAAACTAAAATCAATTTTTTTTGTACATTTAATTTTGTACATTAACTTGTTCTTAAGATTTTTAAAAATATCAATTAAAGATTTCTTTAAATTATTACATTTCTATATAGAAATTAGAAAATGTAATTTCTAATATATTAGAGAGTCTAGAATAATTTTACTAACAGTATTTCCTATATAATGAATGAAGAAAATTTCATTCATTCATAAATTTTCAAATTTTCTGTGAAGATTTTCTATTGCTATTTGACAAATTTTTTTAATATAATGAAAAGAATTCATTCATTATATTTAAAAAAAAATTTGTCAAATAGCAATAGGAGATTTCATAGAAAATTTGTTATACAGAAGTTCAATTGTATAATATTTCAACAGTTTATTTTATAAAAAGATATTTTAATATTCCTCCTCATCTGAAATATTCTCTCTGCAAAACATTTTATTATTTTTAGATTAAAAGTACAGTAGATATACAAGATTTTTTGTTCTTAGAGTAGTCAAAACATTTAGAGAAAACAAGTGTATTGTTCAAAACATACCACCTGTTAGTTTTTGCATACTTATGCAATTCCTGTTTTCAAGTTTAAATAATTATGGTCTCAAAAATAAAGGAATTTTCTATATTTTACACATATTCAGAAAATTTTGCATTTGTTTGTAGTTAAAAAAATAATCACTGATTAGATCTAATAAATGTGATTATTCTATATGAAGAAAAAAATGTATTATATTCTGCTTAAAATATTAAAATAAAGTTAGAAAAATTTTATAGTAATCTGTTTATGATTGATTTATGAAAAAAAAAAAATTCATAGTTTTCCCCCTCATTCAACCATAGCAAATTAAAGTATCAAAGTGAATTATTTGGAGTTGACATAATACTTAAATTGTTAAGATAGTACTCTCTTTTGATTTTGTAACATTTACCTCTGATTTTTCTTTCCCAAAATTTGCTGCAGCACCAAGATCAATTTTTTTTGTACTTTTTGGCGTAATTTGTGACCTTTCTGATTTATTGGGTAACTTTATTTCTGCATCATCTTTATATTCAAGTCTATCTCCATTTTCAGATCTTTTTTCTTCATCATTACTATTTAAGATAAAAACAATAAAAACTTTAGTTACTTATTTCTATTATTATTACTACAAAATGCCAAGTAATACATATTTAAATTTTATGAATCTAAAATTATTAGAAAAAGCCTGATATTTTTGGTGACATTATTTGCATTAAGGTGAAATTTAATATGTTCATTTGCTTCATTTTATTGTAATTTGTTTCAGTAAACACAAAGTATATTTTGTCAATCCACAAGTATTTTACACCATTAGCAAGGAGACAAATTATAGAAGTAAACAATATAATCATAGTTTGATATGATGCTGATAATTTCACAATTTCAGAATAAATAATGGTGTCTGTAAGATGCCATTACAAAACATTCAACCTCTTGTGACACTCACAGGATTAAAGTTATATTCGATCCCTGAAATTATACTTTTTTAGTTGTAAATTTGTATTTATGATTTAAATTGGAAACTGTCAGTACCATAAATGTAACCAACACTTTCTTTAACATTCTTTTTATTAAACCATGCAATTTGGCATTGCATGACAAGCATTGCTGCAATGAATCCAAGCACAAAGTGAAAGGTGATGACACACTGCAAATGTATGCAATGTGTCAAATCATGTGCATTGCCCATGTTTGGTACTGTGATAGGAGATTACCAATTAAAACACATTACAAAATAAAATTTACCGAAATGTTTAACTACAGTGCTTCAGTTATTAGCATGAATAAAATATATTAAAAAATTTTGACATTATTTGCAAATGAAGAAAATATCTGTGCAGATTTATTATTATAATACAAAATATAAGTGCCACTTTAGTAGTTATGCCTACTTAATGTTTCTAACAGCAGCAACTATTAATCTAAAAATGTTTAGTAGTGATGTAACGAATATTCGGTTACTATTCGGTATTCGGCCGAATACCGAATATTTAATTACTATTCGGCCGAATACCGAATACCTAAAAACAGGAGTAACAAATAACAAAAACGCAGTAAATTAATCGTTTTGGTACTTAGATTTAATGTTATCGAGTTAGTGTTGTTTGTTTACATTTATTTATAACTTGTAACATGCACAAAATAAAAAATAAAATAATATTAGTCACATGTATTCACAATTTATAATTACAAAGATCAGCACACACACACACACACACACCTATTCGTTCGAGAACCGTCGCACATCTGAGGCTCTGACCCTGCCTATCCCTCTTTTTAAGCGCTCGTCTTTGCTCTTTCCTTTCTCTTTCCTCTATCGCTCTAATCCACGTATGCCTGTGCATACATCATAATACGCGCTCACGATACCTTCGATTCGTCACTTTTCCGTCGTAGAGTTTCCATTTTACAACTACGTGACTCAGCCTGGTGATAACGGACAAAAGAGACAGATAGGACGTCGATATAAGTCACAGTTATGATTTCACAGATTCGAGACAGCTTGATAGCCCGAACGGCCCCAGGATTTCGCCCGTGCACGCTAAGTGACTTTCATTACAAGCATTTAGCTTTCCGAAGTCTATGACAACAATTGTTTGGCATTGACGGGCGCGAATTTCGTGCCAATAAGCTGCCTCGACTCATTCGATTATGTTATCAACTCAATTTCGTATTTATTTTCACATTTTCACTTCGCGGTCCTTCTCCGTTCTTTTTCAGTTATTTACACGTGTAGTTCATTTCATTGTTATCCACATTTGATATCATCATTTATCGCATACTTCCATGACACTCTTGTCTGTCCGCTACAACTGCCAAGAATTAACGCGATTGGCGAAGCGTAGTGACAGCGGGCCAATAGAGAGCAGGATCCTTGCCATAATGCGGTTTGCGCGCCAATTTTCGTACGTGCGTTAATCGAGCCGAATAGTTTGGCCGAATATTCGGCTATTCGGCCACGCTCTTGGCCGAATATTCGGTATTCGGCCTGAGGCCGAATATACTATTCATTACAACACTAATGTTTAGTGAAAATTTATTTATTTATTGATGTTTCTAACTTTTGTTAATACAGTAAAAATTAAATTTAATAAAGTGAACTTCTATTAACCTGGCATCATTGAAACTGATGTGATGTCAAACTTATTGAATATGCTGCCTTATCAGATAGTAAGTTTTTCTGGTTTTTTCAATCCACTGGGCACAATTTTACATTATTCACATATAAAACTGTACAAATCCACCTTTTATGATTGTTTAATATGCTGTTTCAATTTTTCCAAGCTATTCCAACACTTGATTAGCTTGAAACAACACTATTCTTACTTTGTGCTTTGTATACTTTTATTGCATGTAAGTACAGAATACTTGAATTATATAAGTACACTAGTAGTAATGTACTGTAGCTGTTTACATGATAATTATTGATTCCAAGTGTGCTAAATATGTATTCTTCTTGTATCAAACTCCTGCACTAATGTCTTTGGAAAAGTCTTTGGAAATTAGAATAATCATGTTCAAGCAAACTGGTTATACCCAGTGGTGATATTCGAAATATTTAACAAAGGGTTCGCTAACAGAAAATTTTCCCTTAACAATTTTTTTTCGCTCAAATGGTGCACCAGCAACATTAGCGCAAAAACTGACCTTAAGATACCCATATAAATAAAAAAGATGCGTTCGCAAAATTAAGTCAGTTAAAATTTAACATTGTTTATGCCCGAACTATATTTTTTTTATAAATAATAAAAAAGAGTGTTCAAAATGGTTTATTTTGTACATATTTTAATATTTTTCATTCAAAATATTTTATAAACATAAAAATTGGCTTTTTTTTAATCAGAAAAAGTCATAGGGAAAGCAGTTAAACAAGAAAAACTTTTCTAAATCATTTCTTTTATCGTTAGGTATTATTATAATAATAGACAGATGTCATCGTCTCTCGAAATACAATATCTTTCTTATTTTGCTGTTGATAGTCCGACACGTGCTCCGCAGCCATCTTGTATTTTCTCGCGCGCATGAGATTGTGGGATCTCTCTTATGACTGGATCTAGTTTCGAGAACTCTCTCGAGTCGATCGCGATTGAACCTCGTTTTAGTCGAGATTGAAACGGTCGATGGAGGTTGCACTAGGCAAACAGGGTATAAGGCTCTAGTTTAGTAGTGTTACAGAGTATAATACGTATATTTTAATATATTTTTTAAAAGAAACAAAATCACTGAGAAATGTTACATGTGTTTAACAACGGGTTCGGAAAACTGAAAATGTTAACAATGGGTTCGGCCGAACCTGTGCGAACCCACTGAATATCACTACTGGTTATACCTAGCATGGAATCATGTTGTCTTGGCATTTGTCATCTCTAAAAGGAGAAACCACACCTCTTTCCAAGAATTGCATGTTTTGAGTACTTTTATATGAAAATAACTCCAGACCTACCCAGTACACTGATAACCCCTCAACCACAGGCTCTACATGCCAGCTTATTGGGTTTACTGGCATACCAGATGCCAGGTTAACAGAATTTCACTGTAATCTTTATTCTTTAATTCAAAATTATCAGAATATTTTATAAATTAAAATTATATTATATAGAAAATTAGGCAAAAATTTAACAAAACATAACTACATTTCAACAGTAGCATTCTCTAAAAAAATGTTAAATTTTAGGCAAATAAAAATATTTTAAAATTCTAAAACTAACCTATGTTCTGGAGAATCTTCAAAACTTTTTCTCCTTCCTAAACTTAATTTTGGTACTCTATTACTTGATTTACCAGATTCAAAGTCATCAAATTCATCACGACGATACCAAGAATCTGATTCATGCCTATCACTATATCTAATAAATATAAATATATATAATCATCAGATATCTAAATTTAAAATAAATCTTTTATATTACATTATTTTATTATTGTCTTGATTAATTTTAATGATAATTTATTTTCACGCTGAAAAAAAATTTACATTAAAATATATATATTTAACGAAAAAACGATGTTTTCAAATAAAAAAAAACATTTAATATTTTCTATACAATATTTATTTAATTTAAATTATGTAAACATTAATTTACTTCAAATTCTTTTGGTTCACAAAAACTTAAGTTAAATCATAGATTGTAATTACACACAGTGTGACCCTGATTTATGAATACTTGATATATAAGAATTGTATAATAAACTGTTTTCTTTTATCCCTTTTCCTGAAATTTGAGACAAAGTATTTGATAAAACTAATAATATTCTAATGAGTTATGAGACAAATTCCCACAAATCACTTAATAACAGTACATAGATTCCAGTATCTATTTTCCTTTTTTTATTCACAGTGTGTATTCATTCTCTAAGGGAGTGCATTCTGTTGCAGTTGCGCAGTTTAGGAGCTATCTCTGCATTACAGACTTGTACCAGTAATTACAATTTTTTTTTTTAATAAGTATACTGTGTTTTGCTTGTTTTCTACCCTATCATTTTAACTTTTTTTTTTTATAATGGCAAGAAAATGTATGTCTAATAACTTATGTATTTGTTTCTCTTCTAATTCTTTCTCTCATTTCATATTTAGTTTCTTTTATATTGGTGAATAATCTAATCAATCTTTCATTTATTTTATTTAGAATCNACCCTATCATTTTAACTTTTTTTTTTTATAATGGCAAGAAAATGTATGTCTAATAACTTATGTATTTGTTTCTCTTCTAATTCTTTCTCTCATTTCATATTTAGTTTCTTTTATATTGGTGAATAATCTAATCAATCTTTCATTTATTTTATTTAGAATCAATGACCAATTGGTAAATAGGCATTTTCTAACACTTTAACGATTATTTTGGAAACAAGTAGGATGACTAGGTTATTCAGAGTGAGGTACAAATTTCAACCACAAGAAAATATTGGGAAAAGGTCATCTCTGAAATTTTGATTTATGAGAGTTTCAAGAAAGTGTAATCCAAACTTAAAATAAATTAGATATATACTCATAAGACAAATTATATAAATGTAGAAACAATGTAAACACAAAAGCATTTGTATTGTCAAGAATTAACGCGATTGGCGAAGCGTAGTGACAGCGGGCCAATAGAGAGCAGCAGGATCCTTGCCATAATGCGGTTTGCGCGCCAATTTTCGTACGTGCGTTAATCGAGCCGAATAGTTTGGCCGAATATTCGGCTATTCGGCCACGCTTTTGGCCGAATATTCGGTATTCGGCCTGAGGCCGAATATACTATTCGTTACAACACTAGTA